TTTTTACAAAAGAAAACTTTCTTAAAAAGGTTTGAATCAAGGTACAGATTATACTTTATGTTCAACATAATTTCATTATTATGGGTCCATGCCATCAGGATAGCAATAATGAAAAAACATAGGGTCAATATACAATTTTTTGAGATACATGAATCTAAAATGCAATAGGTTTCTATGGCGAAGTTCTTTCTTCAAAATTTTGCTCTGTGACATGAAATGAAAAAGGCATATATCATTATTAACATGAATCCTAATATTGTGAAAACATTTCAAAAAATTGGCATGAACCTGAAAATTGTAAAAACATTTCAAAAAATTGGCATGAACCTGAAAATTGTAAAAACATTTCAAAAAATTTACATGAACCCTAATATTGTAAAAACATTTCAAAAAATGTACATGAAATCTAATATTGTGAAAACATTTCAAAAAATGTACATGAACCCTAATATTGTGAAAACATTTCAAAAAATTTAGTGTGTTTCAATATACCACAAATTTAAATGTAATGGAATCTCCCATAATGCATTGCATATATGTGCAGTAACATGCTCTGTGGTTCAAAATTAAAATTTTCGCCTAACTATCCTAATTATGATTTTTTTAAAGGTGAGTAAAACAGTTAAAAGTAATTCACTGAATATTCTATATTTGTTCTGGCACTTTTTTCACAGCTTAGTGAGCAAGAATTAAAAGGACTCCTGGAAAGTGTGAGTCAACAAACACAAAAGAAAACCACCGTTAAGGTAAGCAGTATTTTCCACCACTCAGTGATTTACAGACAGTGTTTATCTGTCCATTACTAGTCCTACCTTTCTGTTTACTTCAGACAAGTATAAAAATATTCCAGAAGTGATTATTTGCTCAATATATTATGACATTCATTACATTTTCACCATCTGTTTTGTATTATATAAACTATTCATGTTGCATACTTAATTGTTATCACTGTTTGCGACTCCTCCAGGTGGACAATGTTGTTGCACTCCACATATTGTATGTACACTGTACTTTCTACAACAGCAGTTAATTGTCATCGTTGCTGTTTAGCTCGATACTCATTTAATGTGTTTCAGTTTTAACACAACCACCACCAGTAATCTGAGATTTCACATCCATATTGAATAAATAATCAGACAACACTCTGTGTCAAATGTTTCAATTCAAAGGCTTTATCAAAGTCACTTGCTTGCATGATCAGTTCAAATTCAAAGCATGTTCTTGCATGGGATTATGTAATCCATTCCCTTTCATGCATGCATTTTGATTGGCACTAAACTCAAATAATTCAACCAATCAAATAGTTATGTTCATTTTCTGAACACGGGTAAAATAAATAGCAGTAAAATTAGAGTTACTAACAACAGTAATTCATACCTGAAATTTTAGGGAAGCACCCAAAATTTGCTTGACAGAAATGTAAACTATTGTTGTATTGAAGTTCATTTGTTCTTTGTTTCAGTTTGATAGAAGGAGAGTGATGGATTCAGATGACGAAGATGACTATTAATTCTGCAATCCAAGATAGTTATGGTTATTGCTAGTTAGTTTACAATGTAGCATTTTCAAAAGAACAATTTTTATTTAGCTCCTATTTTCTGTGTCAAAACAGTTATCTCAAGAACCACTAAGGATGAGACCTAGACACCCTGCGACTTCTTTTTCAAACCTCTATGAACATAACGTTTTACCCCTACAGGTTTTATGTATATTTGGTGGGTCTGTATTTGAATTTTCCAAAAAATATGGTGTTCACTAAATTTGGAATTATTTGTGTATCTCAAAAATATGCATTTCTAAGTTTTTATAAAAATTTGTGTTGAAGCAAAGACACTCGAGAATACAAGGACACGCAATTGCAGTAAAAATCAAAAGAAATAAAATGATGTTCCATGTGATGTGTCTTGGTGCAGGACATTTTATTATAGCCGTGTGCATACAACAAATCTGCAACTGCCATATCACACTTTTTTTACTCCTGTGTGCGAATCACACAATAGGAGTCTTTGTTACCCTGTCTGTATGTGTGTGTGTCTGTCTGTCTGTCTGTCTGTTCCATGGATGTCTCAAGAACCGTATGTTGGCTTTTAATGAAACTTGATGAGTAGATGCTCTGGGCTAATGCGCAGATTTGATTAGGTTTTGGTTCAAATCTATGCATATTAATTACCTTATTTGCATGATAATTAGCTAATTTTTAACAGTTTCTTGACTGTTCCACTGATATCTAAAGAGCCATTCATTAGATTTTGATGAAACTTGGTACATATATGCTCTGGACTAATGCACAGATGTGATTAGTTTTGGGTAAAAATTCATGCATTTAATTAACCTAATTTGCATAATGATTAGTCAATTTTCAGTTTTTCCACTGATATCTCAGGTACTAATCACCATTTTTCAATGAAACTTACATAGATACATAGAACGATGAACAGACAGATATGTGAAATTTTAATTACCTAATTTGCATAATTAATCAATTTTCAGCTTTTGATTCTAATAGTTAGGTAAATCTTTTTGAAAAAATATGCTGTATCAAATTATGTTTACAACAGAATAGTTTAGATACCACAGTTCATTTTCTGTGATGAGACTTTTTTTATTTGATAATCAACAAATAAAGATGTTACTGCAAAGAAACTGTCCTGTCAACTGTTAGCTCCAAGACATTTTTCAAAAACACAATATGTCTAAGTTGTTTAAATCCTACTTGTAATCCTGCTAGTAATAATGTGTATTTGTTTTGAAGTTCGTTCATTGGAAAACATACTTACCCAGGTAGCATTTTCTTAGATTTTGTTTGTGTGTGATGCAGTTTGTCTTGGAATATTCACATCTTGCATGTCAAATGTTAAAAATTGCATTCAAATAGCAAAAGATTTAACATAAATGAAAATACTTAATTAGTTCCCTGTACCTGTATTCCGTATGTCCTAGGCCAAACAAAAATTTACTTATCTTCAAACTTTTACTGACTTTTATAATTAACCAATAATTATAATTTTTAAGCGAGATTTATCAGTAATATAAAAAATGTTTGTTCCTATGGTGGTTGAGAATTAATTTGCCTAAATTAGCATTTTTGTATTTTAATATTACACTACAAACTAATAGAATCAATCATTGTAATGTCAAAACATACAACTCAATTTTGAAACTTGCATGCATGTACCCCTAATTAATTATGCAAATTTTTGTTATTGAATAAAAACGACCAAATATGAGAAATTATTGCTTATAAATAAACAGAAACCACAATATTATTTAGTCCAGTGTATCACTACCATTTTTTAATTTTTTGAAAATGTGATTCTATATTTTTGTGAAGATGAAGGCGCCATGTTGGACATGCGAGCTATCTCAGTACATCTATGATTGGCTTGTGATGGTGCTGTTTCAGCTCACATACTCAGTACATCTATGATTGGCTTGTGATGGTGCTGTTTCAGCTCACATACTCAGTACATCTATGATTGGCTTGTGATGGTGCTGTTTCAGCTCACATACTCAGTTGCATATTTACCATAAAACGCCTTAAGCTGACCAGAATTTTTTTTTTTTAATAAATTTGCTGTTTACTTGGTTTGTTGCAGTTATATACCAAGAATTGCTATTTTATTTTAATTTCAATTTGATTAACTTAATGATTTCAATCAATGTTTTCTAGTCAGTCAAATTTATTAATGTAATTTTATATATATTTTGAGCAATACCCGGTACTACTTTTTGGCTTGTAAATGGAATGTACTTTCTTTGTTCCAAGCAGTCCCTTTTTACTAGTTTCTTTGTTCTCGACAATGCCTGTTTACTGGGAAAGGACAGTTTTTTCTGAGCAAGGATGTTCTCACTTGATTCAAGTAGAGAGTACCCCCCCCCCCACACACACACACACACACATACAAAAACAATTTAAAATGGAACATTATTGGTGGCGTTCACGTTAAAGATCTCGCCACGTGCCGAGACTCAAGTCCGAGTCGGCAAGTGCTGAAACTTGTGTTTGAACGGTCGGGCCGAGTTGGCATATGCCAAAAAAAGGAACTTTATCTCGGTCCCGTTAGATGGTTGGGACCAAAACTTGGAACGTGCTGAGATTTGCTGCCTGAATGCTCGGCATGAGCCGAAATCAAGCCCTCAGTAGTAAATTTAAGGGAACATATTCTGATTTATACTTGTATGAAATAACGATGACATGAAATGCAGATATACTAGTATATGGTTGGATGCTGTAGTAATGAATGAAATGAATGCAAACCGTCGTCAGCGACGCATATTTATGTGCTGCTGCAACCACTATTTTCTTGCAATGCTACATTGACATGAAAAAATAATTGTTTTGCGAATTTTCTTTGTCGTTCATGTGCACGATAACTTGTACCATAACAACAAATAGATATGATTTCAATATAGCAATTGTTATTATCATCGTATCCATATCGTTTTCCAAGCTTGGGCCAAATAACAGATTGACGAATGATGGCATGATCTCGGCACAAGCTGAGTCAGTCCTAAGTAGGTCCCGATAAATGTAGTAATTGTTGTAAAATTACTCTGGATTCAATCAAGCAGTGTGGATGCATGGTAATTCTACTGCATGATCTAAGTAATTGATTACTGGTTGAGTGCAGCATGTAGTTCATTTCTACAGGTTATTGGCTGATTGTTTCATAAACTTAACATGTACTCTTCTCGTGACATATTCTCAGACATAGCTCAACTCCCAAGGACATGCCTCCAGACATAACATACTGTCAGAC